TTATTGAGTTTATTTATTTTATGTATGCATTTATGACACTGTCTTTTATTTCTGGAAGTTGTCACCTATGATTTCTTGTTTCCATGGATAGCTTGTGTTGTTTTTATTATAAACTTATATTTCTTTAAATTTTACTTGTGGGAATTATTTGTGGTATGGACAAAAGTATTTCATTCCAGAAAAAATCTGCAGTTGTTTCTTCAAGATAATAGGGGCTAAACCAACCCAGGAGCACTTTAAACTGTAATACTGCATTGAGCTTTTTCATGTCAATCAAGTAGTCAGGCTACAATCCTACAAAAACACCAACAGAAACCAGTTATTACCTAGAATGATTATATTTACTCCTCCTTCATTTAGCACTAGGTTTCAAGATAGGAGTATTTTCCTGTCAAACCCTCAATGAGTGGGAATTTATTTCATTTTTACACTTATATCAAGGACCAGCACATTTGGTGGACCCACTTTTATGATGGAATTATTTAGAGTTCATAATTTAAGCTATGACTTTTTTTTTTCTCTCATTATTTTCTGTGCTCTGCAAATCCTGGAAAGCTAAAGTTCAATTTCACTAAGATTTGAATTGTTCTCAAGGTGGAAGCTAGTATCAATATTCTTCTTATCACTTTCCACTTTATCTTTTTATTCACTTTTCCCTTAGAGTATTCTTTACTTTCAATTTTGCTCATCAATACACTTAAATATTTTCATATATAGTAGTATTTTTCTCTAACCAAAGAGATAAGCAGATTAATCGTTGTGTCATGCTACAGAAATGTCACTCCTCTAATCACCAAATATCTTCACTTTTTAGCATGTGGTCCTTTTTGCTCAGCCTAGCCAACTGTAGTGAAGTGAAAATAAAGACTGAAGAGCAGGGATGCTAAATCTTTGGCTTTCATTTTAATGAAAGCTGTTGTGCTGATATAATAGACAAAGAGTTGGAAGAAAGGAAAAATTAAATCACTCTTCCCCCTCATTAGAATAAAAGGATAATTACTCTGTCTGGTACAGAGAAAGGTTGAAAATGCATTAGAGGGAACCACTTACAGCCTGTGGGATTTAAGAAGCAGCTCTACTCATTATATTTTCTGCTGTTGTGTTAGTGAAAAGTATAAAGGATATTGACAGAGTCCACAGAGCTGTTGGGGACCCAAGAATCAAGATGCATTTGCCCTTAATCTTTTCTGGAACAGTGTGAAGAAATATTCTTTTAGGATTCCTTAGTAACCCAGTGAAATGGGAACAAAAGAACCAAAAATTTCATTTGCTGCTAAAGAGGGGAAGGTGTAGGTTACCTTGTCATCAAGTACAGGTTCAGGCAAATATTCTGGAGTCCTTGAACAGCAAGAGAGAATGACAGGATTTCCTCTTACCTCTGACAAGAAAGCTCTTGGCTGAAAGACTAATAGTAGGCAGATGTTGAAGGGGTCTTTGGTCATGACAAGAGGAAATTAGAACAAAAAACAGTGTAAAATAAAATGTATGTCAAGAAACCAGGTGGGAATACAGAAATCTCAACAGATGACAATGTGGTGAGTATATGAGACAAGGTTTTACATTGCAACAGATGTCAGAGTAGGACAAAGGAATGTGAAACCCAGATGCTTCACCATCTGATGTTATTGTGCTACACAAGCTTTTCAGAAATTGAACCAATTCACAAAGAAAAGGAGAAGGACAGGGAGGGAGAATTTTGGTTTAATTGAATGAAAACTTGAAACACTGGAGAATACTTTGAAGCAACTACATTTTCTTACAGTTGATTCAATTGGCATTTTCTGCTATCAAGTAAAATAGCGTCTTAGATCTCAGCTCTGGTAACGATAAAACATATAAATAAAAAGGGTATTACATATTGTGTTCACTTTAGTTTTAGCAACAGAATAGGTATGTACCACGCTTAAAGATAAGAAATTACACTCTTGTAAGAGGAGTTTAGTGGTCACTGAGAACTAATGCAGGTAGAAACATGTTGAATTTGGCAACAGGTTGTTAATTGGTAACTCTGGGAGCAGAACCCTAGAATGGAAAGGGTGGGAAATTAAAGGGAAAGTGAGAAATGTCAATTAATACATGTCGAAAAGAAAACAAATGCTTTTTGAAAAGCTGTTATAAAAGGAAATAGGAAGTAAAAAGAAAAGCTTTAACTGAAAGGCAATATGGCTTGTTTTGCTTTATTGAAGATTGTGATTCTTGGTCATGTTCAAATTATCAGAGGAAATATTTGTTAGAAGCAGTCCTTAGTGTAGTGAAAAGATTAAGTATTACAGTTATAATCTGCTGTATTCATTCTTGAAAGATGTGAAAACTGTCCACTGAGATTAGTAGATAGAAGAGAGAAGCAAAATATTTTGGAGGAGCAGATGAATGTGATTTCAGAGTGCAACTGAGCAGAGTAAACTTGCCAAAACAGCCTTGTTTCTTGTATGCAGGAGAAATAGAAAGCCCCTTTGAGTTTGGTAATCAGGAAAACTATGGTAACTCCATTTTACTGTAGAGTGGTAAATTGTTGGGGTACAGGCAAGAAGAGAGATTTGTCCAGAATTTCAGTCTTGGACAGGGAGTGTGAGATATTTGGACAAGGGTTTGAGAATATTTTAAAAAGAAAAATGGCAAATGTGATATAAAAAAAAGGAAGAGATGTGGTAGAACACTGGTCAGTAGCAAGTTCAGTGATCAAGAAGTTGTGCACCTCAGTTTTGAAGTTGCTCGTGATTGTTAGGATGGTCAGCTGATAAAAATCATCACTGACTTGGAACAAATAACTCGAAGATTCATAAATATGCATCCTCAGGAAGGGAAAGAAAGGAGGGCAGCGAAGACTGACAATTTGACTGGTTGTTTAAAAACAGAACAGAGGTCGTACATTAGGTAGGAAACAAGTGGAATCTCTAATTATGAAGAACCAATGATATATAGATTAATATTTGATTTTAAGGTAAATAATGTATTTTTGAATGTAGAAAAGTATTTCATACTGCACTGCCTTTTAAGTAGTCAGCCATAGAAAATATTCAAGTAGACACTGGGTATTTGTATATTGTGAAGAGACTTTGGGATACAAGGTTAGATTATATATCATCTTGAAATTTTCTCCTGCACCAAGGTCTATTCTGCAACTGAGTTTACTCACTCACCATCTACATTTTCTTTTCTCTCAAGTGCAATCATTCACAAAATTGACTGTGTCTTTAACTTCTTCTTTGAATGTTTATCTCCTTGTCTTGCTCTTCCTTAAACCTGTTTATTTTGTACTGATTCTATTTCTTCCACATACTTCATAAATCCAAGCTTCAAATTGTCATCACTCTGGACAATTATCTCTCTCTCCTTTTGTTAGTCATCTTTCTATCACTATAATAAATATTTGAGATAATCAATTTATAAAGAGAAAAGTTGTATTTTAACTCCTACTTTTGCAGGCTAAGACAATGACCACAAGGTCCTGTTGCTTTTAAGCTTGCTGTGAGGCAGCATACCATGGTGGAAGTACATGAAAGAGCAAAACCACTTATGTCATGGCAATAAAGTAAAAAAGAGAAAGAAGAGGCTGTGGTCTCACTGCTCCCTCCAAGGGCACAACCCCTATGACCTAAGACCTGCTACTTGGACTTTCCTCATAATGGTTCCTATACTTCCCAATAGCACCATGCTGGGTCCTAGCCTTTGAAGGACATTTCAGACCAAAACTATGCCACAGCTCTGGGAAACACCTTCTTTTTGACATGTGTCATGCCTTCTTCTTATTTCATTGATAATATTAGCTCCTGACTTTTTGCAACTATTTCTACCACTTCTGGGATAGTGAATTCAAAATTAAAGACCTAGCCTTCCCATTCTACTTAGTGATTTCGGTTCTCATTTGAATTCCAAAACTAACTTCTGTGATTATACTCAGACTATGTTGTGCAAACAACTAGTACTCTCCCTAAGTTCAGTCTCAAACACGTCTTACTACTGTTCTCTATCCTTCCATCTCACCATTCATAGGAAGTCAATTTCAAACATCTTTTGAAGCCACCATCTCTGTTATTTTTCCTAATCTCTCACTCCTCACCTAATATCCATATTCCTCTTATTTTCCAGCCTAAGTTTCATTGCTAGCATTTATAAACCTACTCTCTTAAATATAACATTGCTTCTTTATTTTCTATCATATTTATGTGCTATCATAACTAAATCTTAACCATGATTAAATCCAATTCCTGCCGACTATGCATCAATATCTCTACCACTGTGCCAGACTAGAGGGAACCCCAAAATATCAGTACCATGCTTACTTTGAATCCATGTGCACTAACTCAAAATGTATTTCCTCATCCATTCACTTTTACTGAACTATAAAACAAATTTATACTATGTATTCCTGTTTAAAATTTCTCCCACTTTTCAATGGTGAGCAATTTTTTCTACTTTGCAGAAGGTAAAATAGCATTTAAAAGAGAAATTCCACAAGCTGCTCTTTCACCAGCATTTTTGTGCGTTTACATTTGAATGCTGCAATTTCTCTTCAGTTCCTAGGTGCACTGCACTCCCAGTAAATACAGACCTTTCATTTGCACATGATCCTATCCCTTTTTTCTCTAACAGACCTTGTTATAGTAATTTTCTCATCTTACCCTTAAATCATTAAATATTCCCTATTAATTTTATCATACCCACCACAATCAAAATAACGCAGTTTTGCTGCCATCTTATAAAATAAATGATCCTGACCCCACTTACCTTCAAGGTGTCACTTCTCTTTTACCTATAAAAATAAAACTTAAAATAGCTGTCTTGACTAGATTCCTTACATTTTTTTCTTCCTATTTTCTCAAATTTTTATCCCTTCAACTCCACCAAAACTGCTCATTTTGCTGTTAAGTTTGGTTTCTACACTGTTAGGTCCAATGATCAATTCTCAGTTCTTTCCCTTCTGAGCCTATCAGAATTAACTGATACCATTGATCTTTCTTTCCAACTTAAAATATTTTCTTCGACAGTGCTGCCAACGCCCCGGCGGAGAAGCTGAGGTCAACACCAAATTTGAAATATTTAAAGTGGATACAAAACTGTTTCTGAAATGCAGACAATTAAGTGCGTCGTTGTGGGCGATGGTGCTGTTGGTAAAACATGTCTCCTGATATCCTACACAACAAACAAATTTCCATCTGAATATGTACCAACTGTTTTTGACAACTATGCAGTCACAGTTATGATTGGTGGAGAGCCATATACTCTTGGACTTTTTGATACTGCAGGGCAAGAGGATTATGACAGATTACGACCACTGAGTTATCCACAAACAGATGTATTTCTAGTCTGTTTTTCAGTGGTCTCTCCGTCTTCATTTGAAAATGTGAAAGAAAAGTGGGTGCCTGAGATAACTCACCACTGTCCAAAGACTCCTTTCTTGCTTGTTGGAACCCAAATTGATCTCAGAGATGACCCCTCTACAATTGAGAAGCTTGCCAAGAACAAACAGAAGCCTATCACTCCAGAGACTGCTGAAAAGCTGGCACGTGATCTGAAGGCTGTCAAGTAGGTGGAATGTTCTGCGCTCACACAGAAAGGCCTAAAGAATGTGTTTGATGAAGCAATATTGGCTGCCCTGGAACCTCCAGAACCGAAGAAGAGCCGCAGGTGTGTGCTGCTATGAACATCTCTTCAGAGCCCTTTCTGCACAGCTGGTGTCGGCATCATACTAAAAGCAATGTTTAAATCAAACTAAAGATTAAAAAAATTAAAATTCGTTTCTGCAATAATGACAAATGCCCTGCATCTACCCACATGCACTTGTGTGAGACAAGGTCCATAGGTATGCCCCCCCTTTGCCCTCCCAGTGCTAGTTAATTTTGATAATTGTGTATTGTCAGAAAAATGATCAGTACTAGTTTTTTGTTTTGTTTCAAAATATTTTTTTTCTTTTTTTTTGTTTAAAAGCGAAGCATGCTTGTGATGACTCTGTAACAGACTAATTTGAATTGTTGAAGCTGCTCCCTGGTTCCATTTTAGACAGTAATCTGGGACATTTTAGTTTTTTTCTGTTTTGATTTTTGTTTTTTCTTTTCTTTTTCTTCCCTTTCTTGGCGGGGGGGGAGTGTGTGTGGGGTTTGTTTTTTAGTCTTGTTTTTTTAATTCATTAACCAGTGGACACCCCTTAGGGGGAAGGAGGATGGATTAGTTCCACATTCCACTTCATAGATCTAATTTAGAAACTGTTCCCCACCTGGTGCTCTTAGGAAGGAGTATAGTAAATGCCTCATTTAATAACGTACTCCTTTTTGAAAGTTGCCTTTCCTCTCCACCCTTGAGTCGACCTAGTATTTGATGATACTCATAAAAGTGGGTGGAAGCTGTCTTGCCCCTCTTTTCTAGGACACACTCAATATGTGACTGTGACTTTCAAGGAAATTTGTTTGCCATTTTGCTGATTTTTTTTTTAAGTAGTCTCTAACTTCACTGATAAATGAAAAAAAGTATTGTATCTTTTGAAGTACACCAAATGGATTGCATTCATACAGACTTAAAATTTTTTTCCTTTGTTAGTCATTGTCTTATATGCTTAGCATAGATTTGCAACTCAGTAGTGTGATGTTCCTAGAACCCAGATGAAGACCTGGCACATAGAGAAACTGAGGGGTGGTGCTAGAAGACAGATGACTACAGGATGAGTGGCATCCTTTCTGATGATGAGGATGCGGGCCTGCTTCATTGAGAAGCTGGGGGGTTGGGGGAGGGCAACATCAACATGGGGACCAGGTAGGGGAATCCCTTTTTATCTGTCTTGCATTTGAGGAACCCTTGAGCAACCTGCTGAAACTCTAGTTTAATAAAAATCATTGCAAGAGTCTTACTAAGATTCTTTATAAGTGTTAGTAGGGATTTTATCAGACTTTTGGTTTCAGTTTCCAGTTTCTAAAAATGTTTAGGTAATCTTCCACCTTCCCCAGATCCTACTTCTTGTAGATTCATTAGTGTTGAACAGTGCTTTCTTATGTCTCAATTCTTTGTATATGCATTCTTTTCAGATGTATTAAACAAACAAAACCCTTCACAAAAAAAAAAAATAAAATAAAATAAAATATTTTCTTCAGTTAACTTCATTCCTAATAACATGCAGATGAGATTTTTAATGTTTTTCTGATTGATTTTCCTCTTCTTTTTAAAATATACCATCTAAAAAACACCTAAATAGTAAATTACTTTGATTCAGACTTTGAATTATATCTCTACTATTGATTCCTTTAGTGATTATCATCCAATTCAAAGTCTTAAGTCATGTAATTCAGTTGTTTTTCAAATATATTTCTCCCTTAGCTCTTCCTGAATTCCAGACTTTTTTTTATCTATCTACATAATCTAGACACATCAAACTGAACGTGTCAGAAACCCATCTTCGTACACCCTCCCCTAAAATTTGTTCCTCCAGTTTCTCCAACAGTCAATGACACCTAGTCTAGAAAAAAAAAAAAAGATTCATTGTGGAGGGTTTTTTTTGTTTTGTTTTTTTTCTCCTCTAACAACACATAACTTTTGTTAGCATATCCTTTTGGCCCTTCTTTCAAAACATATTTCAGCAGTTTTTGTTTGTACATGACTCTAAGTCAGCTTCATTGTAGGTCTAGATTTTAGAATAGTCTTCTCCCTGTATCCTTGCATCATTTTTCTTCTCCTTCCACCTTTGTGATAGCAGAGTAACCTTGGAAGCATTAATAATAGACCACAGTATTCCTGCACTAAAAAGTTTATAATAGACAATTATTTCCAATGAATGTTACAGACACTTAGGATATGATGCCTTGCTCCTGGAGAACTCATCTCCATAACACTCCTCAGCCACTCTTTTTCCAAAACTGAAACCACACACCCACTTTACGGTCTTTGATCTAACTATCCCTTTTCCTGGGATGCCCTTCCCACAGATATCTGCTTTTCCTTCACATCTTGCTTTTAAAAGAATCTTGGTTTTAATGAGAATTTCAACCTCATTAAAGCTAAATTGTAGCTAAAATGTTTGTAGCTAAAACATTTATCTGAACTCCTAACTTAATATCTTCCTCCCCTGCCTTTTAAAAACCTTGAGCACTTACCACTAGTTACTATATGGGATGTTTTATATTGTTTCTTATTTAGTTTAAGTTTCCTCACTAGAATAAATGTTTTCATGAGGATGAGGGCTTTTGCCAGTTTTGTTCACAAATAGATTCACAAGCCAAATACATATAACATTGTTCAATAAATATTTGTTAAATGAATGAGTGAATGAATAGTGCCATCTCTTCATTTTATAATGAATTTCAAGTATGACATTCAATCTATATTTATCAAACTCCTATAGGAAGTATGTTTTTCAATTTTATTATTGCTTTTAGAAGACAATATAAATATTTATAAGTCAATAAATTTCATATTTGTTAGTGAATGGAAATAGTGTTAAGAATACAACATATACTTTTTGGTAATCCAATTATAAAAAATGTTAATAGTATAAGATTGGGCCTACAAGTTAGAAATCGGTAGTTGAACTTCTTTTCCCCTACAAAATTAGCTGATCCTTAAACTATGTATTTCTAAAAATTAAAAGATTAACATAAGAATTAAAGGGATTCTTTCTTCATAGAATTTTACAAAATGCCTAGTCAAATCTAGAACAGAAGAGAAAAACACACATAAAAATTAAGTCCAAATTTGTATCAAATAATTTCTTCCATGTGTAAAGTCTTAGGGAATGTGTATCTATCTAAAACAAACAAAAAAGTCAGTTTTCTTTTTCTTTTTCATTTACAAAATCTGAGAACAGGAGGTCCTGCCTGGGGGATTAATTCCAGAAGGATGAGAGAGGATATAAGGAAAGGGTGTGGGAGGTGAATATAGTGCAAATACTGTGTATACATGTGTGTAAATGCAAAAATGATATCTGATGAAGCAATTCAAGGACTAGGGAGAGGAGAATAAAGGAGAATGTTGAAGGGGGTGAATTCAAGTATGATATATGTGACATATTGCCAGAACATTTATAAAGGCCACAATGTGCCCCCCATCCAGGAAAACAGTAAAAAAGAAAGAAAGAAAGATGTCTATTGAGACAACTTCTTGTTAACCTAAAATCCTTAAATTTCTTCAATGAAGAAAGATGTCAAATGGTCTTCTACTGTTGTGAGAATAAAGGGTTAAGAGATTTATAAAAAGTTAATAAGCAATCTAGCTATATGTTTTTCAACATATGAAACTGTGCATAAAAAAAAAATGAAGGGCAGGAGGACAAAATAGTTCTCCAGGAGTACTAGTTGGAGGGAGGTGGGCATAGGGAAAGGACGAATGAAGGTGAATGTAGTGGATATGCTTTGTATTTATTTACCCTGAAGTCCATAACTGTTACCGATTCACAATCATTTTTTCAAAATTATAAAGTTACAAAATGTTCGTTTTCATTGTAGTACAAACTCTTCATATATTGGTCTTTCCCAAATTCTTTTCAGACAATGTTAAAGCTGTTTTCTTTTATGAGGACAAAAGTCGAATGTATTTCATAATATTATAAGAATGTATGGAGTTTTAAATTTTTTGAGAGGACTTGATGCTACTTTTGTCATACTTCTATTCTACAATGTATAAGTGTAATAAAACATATTGTACCTGTTAAATAGATAACATTTTATGTTAATTAAAAATGAATGACCCAATCAGAAAAAGTAAACTATAAATAAAATCATGATCATGTGGCTAGGATTCATTATATGCTTATAATGCTTTTTGCTTACTATTGTATATTTGGCCAAGTAGAAAAATTTAAATATTAATTAACAAAAATGATTCTGTGTGTTTATAATTCTGAAAAATCTTGAAATTCAATGTAAGCACTTATTTTGGGGAAGAAAATAGATAATGTATTTCTCAGGATAGTATAAAATTGACACAAAAGGAAAAAACTGCCTAGTCTGGAAGTCTAATGATAACTCCCCAGATTTCCCACTTTGTGTACATAAAGAAATCTTTCCTAGAAAAATATCAGTGTAATCTTTTACCTAATCACATTAAAACAATGCAATAATTTTTTATTGAATGCTCACCTTTGTCTCCATAAACCATTTCAAATGAATAATATTTAAATTTTTTATGTTATATTTTAACTTGTTCAATTTTAGTTTAGGTTGTTTTGTTAGCCTGCATATGAATTTCATGAAAATATTGTACGTTCTTTTTGTCTTTTGAAGTTATAAGATGTATTTCCTTTTATGTTAAAACAATACATGGAATGCAATAATTTGCTCACTTTTTGCACAATAGTACTAGAGGAAGTGAATATTCCTATAGAGAATATAAATAACTTTCCAGGAATGAATTTCCTAAGGAAGTAACTATAAAATTTATATTATTCTTAATTTTGATGTCTTAGAAATATTTGCATTAAAAATTAGAAACTCAATGTATTTTGTTTAGTGCCATTTAAAGAATCCAAAGAGAAAATAATGACTGACATTGACAAAAGGCAACATACTTTTAAATCAGAATACAAAACAACTACCCAGGATCTGTCTCTGACCCTACCCATAGAAATTATCTTTGAAGATTTCAGAAATTTAATGCAAGAATGGCTTTGCATGTATGCAATGATTCATCTTCCTTTTCTTCCTACACAACTGCCTGAGATTCTCATGTTATCTAAGGTTTCTTCATACACTAAGATGCAACTTTCAAGTAGAATGTCCCTTCAGATTACTGAATATAAGAGAGAGCCATCATGAACAATAATATTGATTTGTTTCATAGGTTTTGGGGGTTTTGTTTGTTTTGGTGGTACTGGGGTTTGAACTTGGGAACCATGTAAACGAGTATAACAGTTTTCAACATTTATATTATAACCCATTTAAACAAAACCATTTTTATGTCTTTGGATGTTTATTTTTATAAGGTTTACTCATATATTTAGGCATTGATAATAAAGCGCTGTTAGTTCATGGTTCTTTTTAGTCATTTGATGTATTTATATTGAACTTGATCTTATCTGTGTTGTGTTTTTAATGCCTTTTTTGGTTTAAGGTTATAAGGATTTATGTATTATTTCAGATTGTACATGCTTTAGTACAAATTTCTAAATCCTATGAAATCATAATAAATATCGCTTGATGATCTCATTTCAAGACCCATTTGGTAGATGGTATTATTTGTTAATAATTCTTTATTTTCTCCAAGTTAATATCATACAGTATCTTTGAAGTACTCTTACATAAATGACTTATGTTAAATATGACTATGAAACTTGCTATAGCCATTGAAAAAAGTGGCAAGTGACACTTCTGAGATGACACCTAAACAGAAGTGATGTTTTTGCTTCTACCTTGTTCCCTGATTACAACATGTCCTAATTATCAATTCTTCCTTCCGCCAGAATGAATACACATAAACCAAAGTCCTGTGATCAGTTTCATCCCTGTTATCCCCAGCTGGTATTAGCTGACCTACAGACTGTGAAGATAAAATCAGTAAGTATTCAGCCATTGAGGTTCTGAGTGTTGTTATGCAGCATTGTCATGGCAGCAAACTGCCATCAACTTAGCATAGCAAGCTGATACATATAACAATATAAAAAGAGAGTAACCACTTTAGTCTGTTATCAATAATAAAATTATCCATCTAAATTCACAGGTGATGAGTTATTCTCAAGTTAATGCTATGAAATTTTAAATGTAGTTTTAGAATATCGTAGAGACTAAAAGGTACAACATTTTACCTTTTATTTATCCCTTAAGGGAAGAACTACATTATACCAAGAAATTATGTGCAGACATACACACACACACACACACACACACACAAATTCATTCAGGTGCCATTCTCTGAGTCACTGAATCACTGGCTTCTATTGATCGCTTTTTGGCTTCCATTCA